TTGGATAATCGCTGAACAAGTGATTGATAAGCAAGGATTACCCATATTGTTCAACACTCCTATATGATAAATAAATAGGAAGAAGCTAATATGTAATTTCTTTTCTTCCAATAAAACTCTTTCATTTTATCACTTAAAAATGTATGGTTTTTAAAAGTTTCTCAATTTCCCAACAGTTTAAATGAAATAAAATGTTAAAAATATTAGACAATGCTATTCTTTAAAAACTAAAATATATTTTTACTAAAGTTACATAGTGAGATGGAATATAAATGTATTCATTTATCTTCCTTTCATGCAATATGCAAAACTTTCTATGGCAGTGTAATTGGAAGGAAGAAGGTTTGCAGAATTTAAACTGCAGTGCTAGATAATTCTAATGCTAATATAAAGGAGGCTTGTTTCCTTCATAGTGTAAAGTGTAACACTCTGGGGACATTCCCAAGTTTACACACATTTTCAAATTGTGCTAATTGTATGTCTCATCAAACTTGATGTTTAAAATTAGAAGATAAAATTTGAATTGCATCCTGAGCTCCATTTTGTCTTTCTTTGACCTATCAAAAATATGGCAGCATCACAATAAAAGAGTTTGATAGGTTTGATACAGGGGTGAAATGCTCCCAGTCCAGACCGGATCGCCCGATCCAGTAGCGATGGAGGTGGGTGGTTCGGAGAACCGGTAGCAAAAATCCCCGCCCCCCCCCATGCCCACCTGAGCCGCACAATCAATCATCAGAGGCTTTTTTTTTACTTTTAAAAGCATTTTTTCTACAATTTCGGCCGAAAAAATGCTTTTAAAAGTTAAAAAAAAAAGCCTCTGATGATCGCGCGGCTCGTCAAAGGCATTTAAAAGAAAAAAAGGGTTTTTTTCTTTTAAATGCTCTGAGGATCCAAGCTGAGTTCCCTGATCGGCAGAGCCTTTCGCTCTTTTTTTTCTTAATTGTTCTTGCCTTCTGGCAGCTCTGCACACGCACACATTGGGAAGAGGCTCACACTGTTCTTCTGCTTCACTGATGTCAGTGCCATCTGGTAGTTATTTGCTGCCTCCCTCCTGGCCCCCTCTCTGCCTCCAACGCAGAGCCCTCGTCCAAGCCTTCCCCAGACTCCAGGACTGGCCCACGTTCCTCCCCAACCTCCTTATTGTCCGAATCTGCTGCCAGCTTTGCTGGCCACTGGCAGGCACAACACTCACCCCCTACTCTATATTAGTCTTCTGTTTTTCAGTCTATATGATTTACCACAAATGTCTAAGCCTATTTAGTATACTTATGACCAGTTCATATCACTGTAACTAGTAAATGTTACGGTCCTTTTCAGATACTGAGTATCATATTTTTTCACTATAATATTGGATCTAAAACAATTGTCATGTGTACATGGTATGAAAATTGAGGCGTTGTTATCAGTGGAGGAAGGTTTGCTATGGATAAGTGATTTTGATTTATCCATTGGTAATATAATAAGCTTGACCTGCATATTTTACTACTAAAGTTGGTAGAAGTCTTGTCAATTTAGAAGTATTTTCAACACTTCCCAACTACACTATTCATAGCATTAACAGTCTACATTATGAAGAAGACTCTTCTTTGCTGTGGTATAGATGCTGGCAAATACATGGTAGTCATATTACTATGATTAATTATTCTTGGCTCGTGACAGCAAAAAATAATATGTATGTATATGCATTATGTGGACAGTCATGGATTTTGAGGACTTAATGTAATTTAAATCCCCCACCCCCATTCAGCATATAGATTGTAGGATTGTATGTGGTCTGCCAGCATTATGTTTGTTACTGTGCTTCCACTCAACTTCTTATGCTTATCAGTGCATTATCAACTCATCAGTTTTCATAGAATTGTGATTTTATCTTACTAAGATAATTTATACAGTGGAACATATATTTGCTATGTATACTTCAGCTTTGGTTGAATGAGATTGCTGAACTACTTTTAACTGGTATGTAGCAAATATATGATATATTTTATATTTTGAATGCCTAAATAATGTATTTTTTCCTGCCCTAGTTAGATTAATGTAGTTGTTCGCTTCCATGATCCTTCATTTTGTTGAATATGTGCCTTTTTCTAATCATTCATTGTAGCTGTTGTCTTGAAACCATTTAAGCTGAATATTTTTTTCCTTTATTTAGCATCAAAATGGAACTGTCAGCCAAACACCTAGAATGCAGTTGGCCACAGCTGCTTCAGAATCACTCAACAACTGACTGACATTTCACTAAGATTGAAAAGAATCTTTCACATGTATCAATTAGACCTGCCAAAACTTGGCTTTGAAAGGCGCTCCAGCATCCCTAATAGCTATATGGAAAGAATAGGTTTTGACAGCTGTGGCTTGCCCCATCATTGCAGCAATGTGACAGGAAAAACTGCACCTTCTGAACATTTGTCTGCCACACAGTTATGAAAGATATAGTAATTGACCACCTTAGACTCAAGTGTAAAACTGCTTACATAGTTTTTGCCTGTGGTCCATTATTTCTATCTTGGAAGACTCAAGTGTTCAAATAAAAATCTTGGATCACTAATGTAACATTAGTCACAACAATAAGACAACATGTATCTGGCAGAAATAGATGCTAGTGCAGTGTAATCTTTCCCATGTTAAAGGATCACTGATCTGGAGCACTGTTCTGGAACTATTCGATATGCAGGACCTCTATAGAAAGAATAGGCATCAATATTGATCCATTGCCAAGACTATTGGATGCTTTTCAGCATGATTATATCTTGATTGTATAAGGCCTATTGCGTTTTCTTCTCTAATAATCACTCTGACTCTCACTTGTAGTTTTCAAAAGCACTCTTATCTGGCCAAATAGTAACATACAAACCAGAGAGCTCATTTTTGTAGGAAAATAGTGTATTTTGCATTACGTCAAGGTAATTATTAGGAATTTACATGCTTTGAAAATAATTTGAAAGAAATGTTTCACACAAAAATGCAGCCACAATACATCTCTATAGTTAAAATAGCCTGATCTTTACGTGGAATCTCCCCAAATAGAATCCCAAATGATTTTTAATTTAGTTATCTTTTTTTTCCTGGCCTGTCAAACTCTGAAAAAAGTTGGGCTTCTTTAATTAATTTGTAGAGGTAAAATTTGCACAGTTACATTTTGTTAAACTATACGATAAAAATACTGTTCACTGTGATTTAATTTACAGTAGCCCTAGGCTTAGTTCCTCACTGACCTATTTCAAAGCAAACCCTGCTGAATTGGCAGCAGGGAAGTTTGATTAGCAATTAAAAATAAATATATAAAATCAGAGAAGTATAGGACTGTGCTGTTGCCTTTCTTCACTGGGAATTTACAGTTGCCATAAAGGGAGCTTTAGTTGTCTCTCCCCCTCTTCCCCATTAAATAAAGTAATGAGTAAAATGATTTCACTTTCACCTCTTTGTATAACTGGTGCTTTTACTGCTTAAAAGGAGTGGGGGGAATATGATCTTGAAATACTGGGATACTGTACTATAAAATGGTAGTGTATAAATATCCAAGATTTTGCTAAGCAAAACTGCACTGAGAAAGCAGACATGTTAAGTATGAATAAGCACATAGCAAAAATATTAGTCTCTTCAGTCAGGAGGCAAAATTAGTATTCTATATATAGAGACGTAAGATGTGGTTTCCTGTTGTGCAACTGATCATTTTATATATATTTTCATATAATGATGAAAGTTAATTCTCTACTGACTGATAATTAACTTCTAATCTAAATCAGATAAAGTTTTAAGTAGATTCTTTTTAAAAGCTGTTGTGAGCTTTAGTCTTTTAAATTATCCTGAAGCCCTAAAGCTTTCTATACTGATTTTAATCACATGCACTAACACCCACTGGTGTTGATAAGGGCAAAGCTGATTAATTGTATGCTACCTGAATAATAACATATTCTTCATACACATCATATGCTTTTGTTGAAATATTTCTAAGCCAAATTCCAAGAAAAGGTTGAGAATGTTTTACATTTTTAACTTTGGTCATGCTTAAATTGTATATTTATTTTCCACTTTACATTTTTGTTAGTCTAAAACAACTAAGTGAGGATCAATTTGATACCTATAAGGAAAAAAAAACCTTTTATACATAAGGCAGAAACATACCTGGTCTATAATATCTGCCATGTGTTTCTGTTATATACACAAGGTAAAAAACTCTTAAATATAGATTATAAGACATTTTGAAAACTAATGCTAGTTACCCTGCCTGGGATTATTTTTTATTGTTGAGAGAGATAACATCTTTATACCATTGTTGTGATTGCAAGATTTTCTGATTACCTGTGATTCACTTTGAAACATAGTTATATCACATAGTGTGAAATTGGAAAATCTGTTTTATATGTGTTCTAATGGATGTAACGGTCATTAAGTATATGAGTCTTCTGACGTTGTAATCAGATGTGATTCAGTCTGTTAAATATCCATGAAGCAACATCTGCTTCACAGAGTGACCTTCTGCTAGAGGATAGTTAGCATCTATTAGCAGATCATAGTGCAGATCTGCCTGATTTGAAAGGCACTAAACTAGGATAATCTCCTGCTGTTTAGCAGCAAAATTGCAATAATTTATTGCAGTAAAATAAAGCTTGTTTTTTTTTCTTTTAAAAGACTCTTCATTACATAATTATAGGGATATATACAAAAACATTATATTCAGTTGAAATTGCCTGTTTAATTTCAAAATTGGCTTTTTAAAAAAAAGCTAAATTCAGATTAGGGGATATGTCGTGATTTCCTGTATAGATATCGATAAATCATTGAAAATTGAAATAAATTAAAGCCAGAAGTAGTTGTACCATCTGCTGTATATTAATTAGAACTTTGCCTACTAAGGGTAAAGTTTTAAAGAATGTAATTGAAACCAACTAATAGAATATATGCTAATATTTTAGAAAATGGGCTATTAGTTTATGCTTTAGCTTTAGCAAAGATAAGGATGATCTATAACAAACTTTAATTTTCTTTCTTCTCAGAGCAACCTCCAAATAACCAAGGCCAGTCGACCCTGCAACCTTTGCCACCTTCTCACAAGCAGCATTCAGCACAGAATCACCCATCTATCACCTCCCTTAACAGAAACTCACTGACAAATAGGAGGAACCAGAGTCCGGCCCCGCCGGCTGCTTTGCCCGCCGAGCTGCAAACCACACCCGAGTCGGTCCAGCTGCAGGACAGCTGGGTCCTTGGCAGTAATGTGCCACTGGAAAGCAGGTAATCCTTTAGGACCTTTAAGACTATAGTTATGCTCAGCATACTAGAAATCTGGAATTTGTGCTTCCCTTGTTCTGTTAGCACAGCTGGAATTTTAATTTACCATAGCCACATTTGGTGCTACCACCTTGTCCCAAGCTGACATTTGAATTTAATTCTTCCCATATATATAGGGTTAACCCATAACACTAGCCAGCATGGAGTATATTCAGTTTGGGGTTAGCTTACTGTATGAACCAATACTTCATGGTAGTTTTAGGGCTGTGAAGGAGTGCAGACCTGATCTTGGGCATGATGAAAGAAGGAGCAAGCTATTAAGGGGAAGGGCATTCAAAAATATTATTCAATCCAGAGAAAGAGAAAAGCATAAGATAGAGCAGAGATAAAACCTGACTAATTTTCAAAATTCTACCATACAACAATAAAGATAACAATAAATTCCTGCAATCCCTGCTGTGCTTGTTTCTTGATCTTACCTATCACAAAGGTTTAGCACAGGCCACTCCCTCTAAGGTCACTATATTGTCATTAATTTGATGTATGTAATTTCTACTTCATTTTTTTTTTTTTTACTGAGTTTATATGCTGGTCTAATGATCAGACAACTCTTAATTTTCATCAATAATGTTTCATCTTTGGTAAATAAGAATTAGATCAGAAAGATGATGGTGGTTCTATTAGAGAAGTTTGCATGTATTTATTTTATTTATATACCAAATCTAGACAATGCCCATCTCCCTCATAGAGCAACTTTTAGCAACATAGATACATTCTGCTTTTTAAATTTTGCATATGATTCTTATTATTTCTTGTCCTTTGATTTGTATTTGGTGGCATTCTTTTGGTCTTTTTCCTGATTGCACTGCAGCAACAAAACATTTGTGGGACATTAAAGGCTAACAGTTTATTATCCCATAAGCTTTATCACAATCCACTTGTAAGTTGTATGGAGTCTAGTCTTGATCAAGCAAATGTTATAAAACAACTGTTGAACACGGGGAAGGAAAGAGAAGAAGAAAAATAATAAAAAGAGAAGTGAGAGAATTACTTTACATAATGGTCCTAAACAAAGCACTATATCATTGATCATATATGTATTTTGGCATGCTACAATGGAAGTTCAAGAACCAGCTTATACAGAAAATCCATTGATTGTTTTATAAGAAGAAAGGTAAGGCACAAATCATATTAATAAAATAAGTAGATGCTGTCATTCTCATTCGGAACATATCAGACAATCAAATGTTTACAATTAAGCCATACAAAACAAACATACTCATATTGACAGTCCATCAAAGACTTGCTAAAGGATTTACCCATGCTTTTCTCAAGCTATGAACCTATCCAATTATTTTATTTTTTTAAAAAAAAGAAAGGATAAACCAATCTAGGAATAATTACTTAGAAGAAAACCTGAAAAAAACAAAACAAAACACTATTTGTTGCCATAGAGCAGCCAAGTAAAATCACTGAACTCTTATCAGCAATGTTCTATAGCGGCAGAACACATAATTTATGTTTTTTTAAAATACTGAAACCCCTAAACCTTTTGATTTTTTTCTTTATTACCGTTTTAATTCTCCCCATTGCTGTCGCAACAGATTTGGTTCTGTTTTAATTAATGACATTTTATTAATTAAACTTCTAGAGCTGCCTATTTACCAAAATGAATTTAAAGTGGTAAACATAATGTTAGGACGAAAGCCACAAAACTGTTTTGCCATCTTTTTTTTACTTCATTTCAGGAAGTAGCTTAGCTCCTGAGTAGCTTCCTGCTGTTGGTATACTTTAAATACTTTTTCCATGTTGAATAAATTGTCTAAGGCAGGGGTGTCAAACTAGCAGCATCACGTTGTCATCACGTGACGTATCACAACTTTTCCCCTTCGCTAAACTGGGGGTGGTCGTGGCCAGCACATCATGTCTCATCCGGTCCACAGGCCATGAGTTTGACACTCCCGGTTAAGGTGTTCAATGGCTAAATGAATGAAAATATTCCCAGCTGGTGTCTCTACAGGATCCCAAAAATCACTACTATGCTGCCCACAGATTTCAATGCTGTTATGGCATTCTGTTATGAATGCCAACATAGATAACTCATAACTAGCAACCTAATGCTAGTTATGGAATGCAAGGATGAACCAGTGACAGCCAAAACTGAGAAAAGGTGTTCAATATCCACTATTGTGTCTACTCTGTGAATAAGGCCTGTAAACTATTTCGTCCCTCCTTCTCAAATATGGACATATTATCTCCCGGATATGAAGTGAATGCACATATGATGTGAGTATTCCTGAGAGAAAACACCAATAAATGGACCAGAATCGAAACTGCCAATAGTTGATACTGGAGGTGGTTGCACTGTGACTAAGATGTTGGGATATGATCTGCACTCAAAAGTCAAACTTTGCAAGCCTTTCTTGGGAAAGAAGCTGTCTGAAGAAATAATTAGATCCGATAAGAAGAAATCTTTGCCTACAGCCCCAAAGAGGAAAGAAAACAGATACAACAGAAATCCGGCATCTGTTTTTCTCTACTTAACAGTAAAATCCCTACCTTCTTGCCCTTCTCTCAAGATGGCTGCTGCTCAATAAGATTTTGTTTTTTCTCTTACCAACAATCTGCTGATTTTGCTGTTAAAGCTGGTTCTTTAGCAGTGCTGCTCTCCGGTTTTAAATGGGAGAGCTTAGGAGTGACCTAAGATGATTTTTGGACAATCATGGACCCAGTGGGGAAAAAGAGTCTTGAAGATTCCAATTCCCTCTGGAAGCAATTGAAAAATCATTGGGCATATCCATCTTCCTATCAAGAAGTTTCGTTTTCTAAGCATGCCTGAGTTTTAATATTCACTTTTTGACTTTACTGTTTTATTTTGCTTTTTGCTTTAAAAGTTGATCAGCAGTTGCATGCTGATTTATTTCAACCCCTTGCTAGACTCTAATTGCTTTTTCTCTTTTTTCCTTTTGCTATATTCTGGATAACCTCTGTTCCTTATGTATGGAAAAGCACAGCAACGTTTGGGGGGGAAGAAATATTAGACTTTAACCACTGGATTCTGTATTTTTTGAATGTGCAAAATACCTGGAGTTTATTTCTATTGAATTTTTCTTATAATCTTGGATTGAAATATAGAGGTGCGTGAATGCATGCATACATACGTGTGTGTGTGTGTGTGTGTGTGTGTGTGTGTGTATACAGTATATCACAGAAGTGAGTACACCCCCTCACATTTTGTAAATATTTAAGTATATCTTTTCATGTGACAACACTGAAGAAATGACACTTGGCTACAATGTAAAGTAGTGAGTATTCAGCTTGTATTACAGTGTAAATGTGCAGTCCTCTCAAAATAACACAACACACAGCCATTACTGTCTAAACTGGTGGCAACAAAAGTGAGTACACCCCTAAGTGATAATGTCCAAATGGGGCCAAAGTAGCCGTTTTCCCTCCATGAATCATGTGACTCATTAGTTGTACAAGGTCTCAGGTGTGAAGGGGAAGCAGGTGTGTTAAATTTGGTGCTATCGCTCTCACTCTCTCATACTGGTCACTGGACGTTCAACATGGCACCTCATGGCAATGAACTCTCTGAGGAACTGAAAAAAATGAATTATTGCTCTACATAAAGATGACCTAGGCTATAAGAATATTGCCAAGATCCTGACACTGAGCTGCAGCACGATGGCTAAGACCATACAGTGGTTTAACAGGACAGGTTCCACTCAGAACAGGCCTCAACATGGTCGACCAAAGAAGTTGAGTGCCCGTGCTCAGCATCGTATCCAGAGGTTGGCTTTGGGAAATAGACACATGAGTGCTGTCAGCATTGCTGCAGAGGTTGAAGAGGGTGTGTGTGTCAGCCTGTCTGTTTTAAAAAATGCTTTTAAAAGTTAAAAAAAAAAAAAAGCCTCTGATGATCTCGCGGCTCAGCTAGGATCGTCAGAGGCTTTTCAAAGCATTTTTTAAAAAGCCTCTCTGACGATCCCAGCTGAGTTGCCTGATCGGCAGAGGCTTTTCAAAGCATTAGAAAAAATGCTTTGAAAAGTTAAAAAAAAAAGTTGGCCACGCCCATCCAGTCACATTACCCACCACCACCAAGCCACGCCCACAGAACCGGTAGTAACAAATTTTACATTTCACCCCTGCTCCAGACCTAAACCCTATTGAGCATCTGTGGGGCATCCTGAAAGGGAGGGTGGAGGTGCGCAAGGCCTATAACATCCACCAGCTCCCTGAAATTGTCATGGAGGACTCCAGTGGCAACCTGTGAAGTTCTGATGAACTCTATGCCCAAGAGGGTTAAGGCAGTGCTGTAAAATAAATAGTGACACTTTGGGCCCCATTTGGACATTATCACTTAGGGATGTACTCACTTTTGTTGCCAGCAGTTAAGACATTAATGGCTGTGTGTTGTGTTATTTTGAGGGGATAGCACATTTACACTGTTATACAAGCTGTATACTCACTACTTTACATTTAGCCAAGTGTCATTTCATGATTTTTAATGTTCTAACTATTTTCTGGTTTTTTTCTGTTATATCTTCTTGGGGTTTTTTTAGTTTTTTTTTTTATTTTGTATTTTAACTTTGTTCTGAGTAAAATAAAAATATATTTTAAAAAAAATTAAAATCCATTCCTTCTTTCAGCCTGCAATCAGATTAAAAAAGGGCATTAGAGAGGGCTCCTATCTGAGGGTCCCATGCTCAACAACCAAAGCACTCAACCAATAGCCAATCTAAGGAGTCAAGAACCAAGGTACATTCTGCTTAGCATGATGCTGTAATCTCCCAGGTGCCTGTGTACTAGCAGAAATTTGGGCACACCTGGAGAAACACCTCCCAGAATGATCGGCTTGAGAAATGCCTCAGAGGGAACATACTAGAGTTCACAAGATTGAAAGTTCACAAGAGTTCACAAAAAAGTAAAATCCATCCTAGAACAAGCATAAATATTTCAGGATAAAGGGAACAATAAATAATTACCAGAATGGGCATGCC